TATCTATCTATCTATCTATCTATCTATCTATCTATCTATCTATCTATCTATCTATCTATTTATTTATCTATCTATTTATCTATCTATCTATCTATATTTTTTTCAAAGCCCCACCACGAGCGGCTTGACCCTGACACGGAGGCCTGCGCGATAGATAATACCGGACTCGAACGTCTACGCTAAGTCGTCTGACGTAATGGGGCGAAGAGGGACAGTGTGTATACAGAAAGTGAGAGGCCAGGTCTCTGTCATTCCTGCAGTCGGCGATTGTTTACACCCACTTCCCCCAGGAGGGCACACATCGGATTGTGCCGCAAGGTGTGGCCGGTGTGTGGAGACCAAGTGGGCAAAAGTGTATGTTGGGGAGGTCGGGTTTGTTTGGAAAACGGTGATCCCGACCCCAGGCCCGGCCAAATCGTGTAAACAATCAAGCTCAGTCTTTGCCCCCTCGACAGTTCGACCAACCTTCGGACATAATCTGGCCGAAACCACACTTTAGCCAGCAGTGCCGAGCTGCATTGTTGCAGAAATGAAGTGGGAGAAGCTGTCAGATGAGGCGTAGCATTCGGGGCATGGATGCGGTCGGGAGGATGAGTGGAGCGGAAGCGGTGCCTTGAGGCTGTCTGCCGATGACGTTGCGGCATAATGAAGGAGTGCAATTGTGGAGAAATGATGAGCCACAACTTGTCGTTTGTGTCGGCTTGACTCTACCTCAACATGGGCTCCTACATATGTCCCACATACTCGTGGGATTATGGGCCATTTGGCTAGTTTAACCCCCCAATATGCCGGTCGTGTATCAAATAGATAATTCACACAACGTGATCACAGACAAACTGTTCACACGATAACTGATTGGTCATATTGCATGTTTCGTTTACAAATAGGCCTTCGAGACTACCAGTTGATCATATATATTTCGTTTGGTTTAGAATATATAATTAATTAGTAGTAATAATAATAATTATTATATTATTATATATAATAATACATTTTATTTATTATATATATATAGAAAAGTGCATGAAATATATATTTATATTTAAGAGGATAAAGGAAGTTGTTGTTGAGTCTTTCCGCAATTTCATTCGGTTTTGCATGACCCTACTTTAGCGAAAATTATTTTCATCCAGGCATGAAATGACTACAAATTCAGATTTCGTCTGAACTGGTATCATCAGTATCCCAAAGGGGACGTGAATACCTTGTAGGAAAGAAAGTCTACGTGAAATTAAATGGAAAAGTAGAGCCTGCCCATATCATTGCGGGGAAATTATATTAACGCTCACTTTATGATCTTAAACGAAATAGAATGAATACATTTCATAAAGGTAATGTTGAATGCTTTACCAAAATGATAATTCACAACATGATCACAGACAAACTGTTCACACGATAACTGATTGGTGATATTGCATGTTTAGTTTGTAAATAGGCCTTCGAGTCTATCAGTTGATCATAAATATTTCGTTTATTTTAGAATATATAATTAATGAGTAGTCATAATAATAATAATAATATTATTATATACAATACTCCATTTTATTTATTATATATATAGGAAAGTACATAAAATATATATTTCTTTTTAAGATGATAAAAGAAGTTGTTGTTGAGTCTTCCCGCAATTTCATTCGTTTCACATAGCCTTACTTTAGCGAAAGTTATTCTCATCCAGGCCTTAAATGACTACAATTTTGATTTCGTCCGAAATGGTATCATCAGTACCCCGAGGAGGACGTAAATGCCTTGTAGGGAAGCAAGTCTACGTGAAATTAAATGGAAACATAGAGCCTATCCATATCATTGCGGGGAAATTATATTAACGCTCACTTTATAAACTTAAACGAATGAGAATGAATTCTTTTCATGAAGGTTATATTGAATGTTTTACCAAAATGATAATTCACAGCATGATCACAGACAAACTGTTCACACGATAACTGATTGGTGATATTGCATGTTTCGTTTATAAATAGGCCTTTGAGACTATCAGTTGATCATAGATATGATATGTATTCACTCTATTTCGTTTATTTTAGGATATATAATTAATGAGTAGTAATAATAAGTATTATTATATTATTATATATAATAATAAGTGGACGTTAATACCTTTTAGGAAAGCAAGTCTACGTGAAATTAAATGGAAACTTAGGGCCTGCCCATATCATTTCGCGGAAATTACATTGACGCTGACTTTATAAACTTAAACGAAATAGAATGAATACATTTCATAAAGGTAATATTGAATG